AGCAACGGCAACAGCCCATATTGTTTTGGGGGCCTCGGGGCCTTCCATGGTGAGAACTCGTGGGGGTAGCCCACACCCAGCATTGCAGCCTTACAGTCTGGCTGTGACTTGACTGTGGACTGTTTGACTGCCGCTGGTACCCCGTTCATGCTCTTTCATCCTATGTATTTTCAGTGTTTTTTCCTCTGCTGAATTTTAGACTAGCCTTTTTTTAGAGCATTCATTTCCGTTAAATATATCCATTGAATTTTAATTTTGGTAATTGTACTTTTTGTTTCTAGAATTGCTTTTTTGGCGTTCCCTTTGCTTTTTATGGTTTCTAGCTCCCTGACAAGACTTTTTATTTTTTTAAGGCTTATTTTTACATTCTAATATGTTTGTGTGTGTGCGCACGCGCGCATGTGCATCTGTGTGCATTGCATGTGAACACAGGCATGCACGGAGGCCAGAAGAGGGCATCAGATCGGGGCAGCTGGAGCTGCAGGCAGCTGTGAACTGTCTGATGCAGGTGCTGGGAACCAAACCTGGGTTCTCTGCAAAAACAGTGTGTGCTCTTAACTGCTGAGCGAGGGCAAAGATTGGCAAGAGTTTTGGATTTGTGGTTTGTTGTGGTTTGTTGTGAGACAGGGTCTTAGTGCTGGCCTAAAATTTGCAAAGTAGCCGAGGATGACCTTGAACTCCCGATCCTCCTGCCTTTGACTCCAGATGCATGTTCCGTCTCACCCAGTTAGTAGTGCTGGGGCTCAGGCACAAGGCTTGGTCGTTGTTAGGCAATCATTTAACCAGTCCATGGCTTCTCATTACTAGTGTCTTTGATGTTTATGGTTTTCATTTCACTAACACACAAAAAAATATTTTTTCGAGGCAAAGTCTCCCCATGTGACCCACACTATGGGGTCAAACTCGCAATCCCCCTGCCTCTGCTTCCTCAGTGCTTGGATTACAGATGTTCACCCCGGCACCCACTTGACCCTACACGCCTTCATGTGAACTTGTGATTTTATTTCTCTCGGGTAAACAGTGGTGGGATTTTAGAATCACTGGCGAGGTAAGTACTTAGCTTTATAAAACCTCCCAAGCCGTTTTCCCAAATGTCAGCTCTTTCGGTTTCCTGCCAGCGTGAAACTTCCAGTTCCACATCTCTGTTGCCACTCAGTGGGTGTGTGGCGGCGTCCCTCGGCCTTCTCACTCGTGTTTCCCTGGTGACTAACGATGTCTAATGTAGCTTCACCTCCCGCTGATCGGCCATTAGTGCCTCTCCTTCGGGAAGTGTCTATTCGAAACTCTTCCGGCCGCTCAGGTAACGGCAGGCCTCGTAGCACACTCCTCGTAGCACTTGGGAAGGAGAGGTGAGAAGATCATTTGTAGGTTGAGATACTGACCCAAAAAAACAAAACAAGCAGGTAAGTGAGCGGAGTGGTTCTGTAATCCCAGCATTCCAGAGGTGGAAGCGGAAGGGTCAGAAGGTTCAAAATCACCCTTGGCTACATAAGTTCAAGGCCAGCGTGGGATACATGAAAAAGAAAATCAGGTTATTTGATTTTTTTCCTTTAGTGATAGAGACAGAATCCTAGGCCTTGGACATGGTTATTGAACCCTTTACCACTGAGCGACACCACGGGTCTGTTGGTCTGTTTTTCAGAAGCTTCACAGGCTGCTGTAGGGAGGGTGGATTGTGGCAGCCACAGAGCCGACAGATGCCTGAGGTCTGGGAAAGTTGGTTTTTCCATTCCGCAGCTCTGGCCTGCTGTTCAGAGAGGTTGGGCCATTTTACAAACCTCAGCCCAGCTTCCTGCAGCCTGGCACCATTGCAGAGCAGAGTCCATCAGAAGACTGCTTACACTGCCTCCCCTTCCTTCTCCCAGAGCTAGAACCCGACCCACCATCGGGCCTGGAGACGAGCACGTGCGGGCCTGCTTCTGTGGCCTGCTTCTGTGGCCTGCTCCTGTGGCCTGCACCCCCACAGTTGTAAAAGCATTGCAAGATGTTGCTCCTAAGCTGGTCGTGGGGGTTCACTCCTTAACATTGGTATATGGGTGTTAAAGTATGAGGACTGTGGGCTCAAAGCCAGCTGAGATACATAGAGTCCTGGGCTATCCTGAGCTACGTGGTGTGTGACTGTGTCTCAGGAAGGAAGGAAGGAAGGAAGGAAGGAAGGAAGGAAGGAAGGAAGGAAGGAAGGAAGGAAGGGGGAGGGAGGGAGGGAGGGAGGAAGGGAGGAAGGAAGGAAGGAAAAGAAAAAGAAAGGCAAGTTATAGAAATGACTCAGTGGTTAAGTCTTGTTTTGTTCTCTGTTCGCACATGGCAGCTCACAACTGCCTGTAACTCCAGTTCCAGGGGATCTCATGTACTCTTCTGAGGGCACCAGACATGCCATGTGGTGTCCATGTGTACATTTAAGCACTCACACATATACATAAAAATAAATCTGAAAGAAAAGAAGGAAGATGGATGGATGAATGGATGGATGGATGGACGTGTGGTGGTATTATGTTCCCCAAAATATTGTGTACCTTAATAAACTTATCTGGGGTCAGAGAACAGAAAAGCCACAAGATACTTAGGCTAGAAAATGTTAGCACACGCCTTTAATCCTAGCATTCCAGAGACAGAAATCCCTCTGGATCTCTGTGAGTTCAAGGCCGCATTGGAAACAGCCAGGCATGGTGACTCACGCCTTTAATCCCAGAAAGCAGCCTTTAATCCCAGGGAGTGGTGGTAGAAAGCAGAAAGATATATGAGGCGTGAAGACCAGAAACTAGAAGCATTTGGCTGGTTAAGCATTTTGGCTGGTTAAGCATTCAGGCTTCTAGCAGCAGTTCAGCTGAGAGCCATTGGGATGAGGACACAGAAGCTTCCAGTCTGAGGAGACAAGACCAGCTGAGGAATTGGCAAGGTGAGATAGCTGTGGCTTGTTCTGTGTCTCTGATCTACCAGTATTGACCCCAATAACTGGCCTCGGGTTTATTAATAAGAACTCTTTAACATTCATGCTACATGGACGGACGGGTGGGTGGATGGATGGATGTGATGATCTGTCTTTTGGTCAGTAAATAACCTGTCCTTGGATCTGCGAAGGAAGCTCAGTTGATAAAGTGCTGGAGGACCTGTTTGATCCCTAGGACCCACATAAAAGACTGGGCATCGTGGCTTACACTGTGTTTGTAACCCCATAACCAGGGAGACAGAGACAGGAGAATTTCTGGGGGTCCAACGTGGCCTACTTGGTATTTTTCAGACCAGTAAAAGAAGAAAGGTAGACAATCCTGAGGAATGACACCTGAGTTTGTCCTCTGGCCACACACACACACACACACACACACACACACACACGCTCAGCCTGATCTTAGCTCATATCCCACAAATGTCCACCAACATCTCTCCCTTGAGACTCCTAGAACTTCCCATATCTTAGCAACTAAAGGGGACGCCAGACCCCCACCAAAGCCCAGGGCCGCGATTGCTCTGTTTTGGGTCGTACCCCAGTACCTTGGCTGTTCCATTGCATGTGTTCTGGGGACAGGTCAGGCATGGCCGGGGTGGGAGGAGGGGTCAGAAGACTCCTGCTGGGAAGCTGGGGAATGGGAGAAAGATTTAGGAAGGGCAGACCATAGCTTACCCCGGACATGCTAACCCCACCCATGAGCATAATTAACCTGCTGTGAGTATTCACAATGTGTCAGGCACAGTTCTAGTGATCCTCACAAAGCCCCAGGAGAAGCTGGCCTTGCATCCTTCTCTGATTCAAGTCCCCACATTCTGCTCACAGCCAGAGGGAGCCTTGACCCCCAGCAGGTCCAGGTCTGCCTTGCCCATAGCCCGACTCAGGTCTCTAACTGTCTGTCACTCACTTAGCTCACACCCCCATTGAGAGGCCTCTGGGCACAGCAGGCCACTTCCTCCCCTTCCAGCTCTAGACCTTAGGAAGAAGACACTTTTGGATTCTTCAGGGCCCAGACTCAGCCCGGCCTGGGCAGTAGTGGCCACTATTGTGAGAGACCCTCCACCCAACTCTAGAGTCCCTCCCTCCCACAGTGACGTCTGCATCTGTCCCATGACCACCATCCAGCTTCCCCTTTCTCCTGCACCCTGGTGCCCACAGAGTGTGACATGAGTTTGGGGGAGGGGGCGTCCTGCATCTGGCTCATGCCCAAGGGCTCCAACCTCAGGTTCCTCTTCACCAGTTCCAGCTTAGGCTCCCGCCAGGGACTAAAATAGTCCCTGCCTCTTCCCCCCACGAGCTCCGCCAGGCCCAGTGGTCACCACATGGCCACCAGCTGCCTCACCTCAGGCCCCAGCTCTGTCTCTGTGGTGTGCACATCTGTGGCAGGAATCCTCACCCTCTTCGCTTTGCGGTGTTCTCTCTCTGCCTTTCATCTTTTCCCCTGTCAGTGAAATGGCCCTCTTTAGATACTGGGTCCCAGATCTGTCTTTGCTGTGTGGCTGTGGGCTACTGTCTTTACCTCTCTGTGAAACTGGGGGGGGGGGGGGGGACATCTACCTCAGATGAATATTGGGGAGACGAGGCGACACATTTGGGAGTTCTGTCATGAGTGCTCCTGCCCAGGACTCTCTCTTAATGATAGCCTGTGACCGTGACAAGGGTCTTGATGCTGACAAGACAGATAAGTGTCGGACCTGCTCTAGGAACGTCAGCTGGTAAACGGCCCCGCAAAAAAGTACGGTTTTACTCTCAATCTTGTGGACGGAAACAATCGAGGCCCAGAGAGGCTAAGTGACTTCTTCAAGGTTGCCCAGCCAGAAGAGGCTGAACTGCTTTCAATTCTTGTCACCCCCATCCCTCCTGTTGTACCTGTCCTCTGTCTGGAGATGGAGATCAAGACCTGCTGTGAGTTTCTCTGGTCCTTTTCGTCCAGTCCATGAGGACTGTGTATGGCACAGTCCCTTGGCCACATTCTTTCTGGTGTCATGTCTGTCTGTCCCCCTCCCTGCTGCTGTCCCCTCCTCCTGCTGCCACCACCCACCTCAGACTTCCTCCTTCACTTGGTTGGACGTCACACCACATCCCACCAGCCGCTGGACTGTGGTGTCCAGTGCACGTCTGGCCGCCATGGGGGCCCTGGAGCCCGCCTGGCACCTTCTGTTCCTTCCTGTCCTTCTGACTGTGGCAGGTGAGTCGGGGGCTTCTGCAGCTGTCCTCTGTGCCTTCAGCTCAGCTCAGGGCCAGGGCTGGGCAGAGAGCAGGAAGGACAGGACAGCCGAAGGGGAGGGCTGGGCGGAAGAAGGTTCCTCCAGGGCCTCTGGGTCTCTGCCTGAGCTGGAGGCCCCACGATTTGGGACCTGGTAGAAGCAGTGGGAGGAAAGATCTAAACCAGACACACTGACACAGACCCTACGCACTGGCCAGTCGCCTCTGTACCAGCCCCCGGGGGCCGTGAGACCTACCTTCTCCCGAGTTCTCCAGCCTCTACATCACTGTCTGGCTGGGCCTCAGTTTACATCTTCCTTTTGGATATAGAATCTCATATAGCCCAGGCTAGCTTCAAACTTGCTGTGTAGTTGAGGATAACCTCAGTCTTCTGATTCTCCTGCCTCTGCCTCTCTCAGTTTACCTAATTTTTTTTCCTCCTTAGGATTCAGTCCCGTCCAGGCCCAGAGTGGTAAGCCATGACACCCCCAATCTTTCACCCTTCCCCGCAAAGACCCCTCACGTCACCCTTTCCTCCTAACCCTCTCTCTGCTGACACCCAGTCCCTGACTGTCAACCTATGCCACCCTCCTGATCCTCCTGTGACAATTTCCCAGATTGCAACTGCTCTCCCGTGAGCCCGGGTGTGCTGGCTGGGATCGTGCTGGGTGACTTGGTGCTGACGTTGCTCATCGCCCTGGCTGTCTACGCTCTGGGCCGCCTGATCCCTCGAGGCCGAGGGGCTGCAGAGGGTGAGCGGGGCACTCAGGAGCTGGCCTGTTGGAAGAGGGGATTGGGGGACGTTTCAAGGTCGCTGATACCTAAGGGCTGGGGATGGAAGGGCTGATTTGTTATTGTTTCTTCCCTTAATGCTGAGGACCCAGACAGGGACTCCCATTTATACCGCAAGCACTCCCTACCAACTGAGTTACACCTTCAGGCCAGAAAGCTGGGGGCTTTTTTCTCTCTTACTTTTTTTTATATATATTTTAATTGTTTAGTTTTAATAGTTCAGTGTCTTCCAAGGCCAGAAAGTGGTGCCAGATGCCCTGGACCTAGAGTTATAATGTGAGTGCTGGGAATTGAACTTGGGTCCTCTGCAAGAGCAGTACCTGCTCGAAACTGCGGAACCATCTCTCAAGTTACTCAGAAGGGCTGGTTTTAAAACACCCAGACAGGAGCGGTGGTGGTGCACGCCTTTAATCCAGCACTCGGGAGGCAGAGACAGGCGGATCTCTGTGAGTTCGAGGACAGCCTGATCTACAGAGCGAGATCCAGGACAGCCAGGGCTACACAGAGAAACCTTGTCTCAAAAAACCAACCAACCAACCAAACCAAACAAAACAAAATTAAAAAGCCAACAACAACAATGTAGTCCCAATTCACAGCTTAGTCTATCTTTACACCCTGTGTCCCTCTCTGTCCCTCTCTAGGGACCCGGAAACAGCGCATTGCAGAGACGGAGTCACCTTATCAGGTAAGAACACCAAATCTTTCTCTGCCTTCACTCCTGCCTGCTCCTAGTCCTGACACACACACACACACACACACACACACACACACACACACACACACACAGACACACACACACACACACCCCTTTCCAGCACCTTAAGGTCCCTTCCCCAGCCACATCCCCAATCTTGAAAACAAAGGAGGTATCTGTCCAACATGTTCAATGATTAATCGTGACCTTTATGCTCATCCTCAGATGTGTGGGAGGCAAACAGAGGGACTCTGTCTTTGTTAGCCTTGCTTTGATCTGGGGGAAGCCTGGCCCTTGGTCAGACCGGGAGAAGTCCTTGGTGAGGCAGGGAATAGAATTTAGTGAGGTATCTCTAAAGAGAGGAGCTCCACCGGGGTTACGGTGTCGCGGAAGCGGGATGTGAGCATTGGACATTCCTTTGAGCAGCTGACCAAAGCTAGGCTGCTCAGAAAACCCCACACAAAATGTACAAAGTGATCCCAGAAGTTGGGAGGCAAGATGATGGGAAGTTTGAAGCCAACCTGGGCTATTTAGTGAGTTTGAGATTAGCCTGGGTTACAGAAAGAGACCCTGTCTCAACAAAAGGGGTGAGTGTAGGGTGTCACACAGCATGGTGTGGTACAGCACATGGCTGCCATTTGCAAAGCCCTTTATTTAATACCCGGCACCAAAATAAACATTAATAATTAACAACTGTCTCAGGATTTCAGAAGCTAGGCAGGCGGACTGTGAGTTCAAGGTCAGTCTAGCATATAGAGAGTATCTCAAACATACCAAACAGAACCGGGCATGGTGGCACATGTCCGCATTGTCTGCATTGAGGAAGCAGAGGCAGGGGGATCCCTGTGGGTTGGAGGCCAGCCTGGTTTACGTAGAGAGTTCCAGACCAGCGAGGGCTACAGGATGAAACCCTGTCTTGCCTTTTAAAAAGAAAAATAAATTAAAAGTGGAATGAGATGGGAATGCGGCTCAGACTACACTCATCTAGCATGCACAAGGCCCAGGATTCAACCCAATAAATAAATAAATAAATAAATAAATAAATAAATAAATAAATAAATAGAATTAATTCAAATGAAAGCAAGTCAAAGTTATGTATATAAGCTAGAGACAGTGCAAGCAGTCATTAAATTCATTCCTAAAAACCATAATGTAGTCAGTCATGTCTACTCCCTCTCTGTTAAGACTCGTGTGTGTGTGTGTGTGTGTGTGTGTGTGTGTGTGTGTGTGTGTGTGTGTGTTATGTGTGAGTGTGGTATGTGTGTATGTTTGTATATGTGTGTGTATGTGGTGTGTGTTTGTGTGTGGTGTGTGTGTTTGTGTGTGTGTGTGTGTTTGTGTGGTATGTGTGTATATATGTGTATGGTATGTGTGTGTTTGTAAGTGTGGTGTGTGTTTGTGTGTGGTATATGTGGTGTGTGTGTGATGTGTGTGTGTGTTTGTGTATGTGTCGGTGTGTGTGGTGTGTGGGTGTGTGTGTGTGTGTGTGTGTGTGTGTGTGTGTGTGTGCAGGCAGGCCACAGGAGGACTTCAGGTCTTATTTTTTAAATTGCATTTATTTTATTGGTTATTTACCGGTGTATGTGGGTGGGGGTTGGGTGCTTATACTTTGGCAGCCCTGGGAAGGCCAACACGTGGGAGTCAGGTCTCTCCTTCCACCTGTGGGTCTCAGAACTCGAACGGGTTGTCAAGGTTCGCAGCACGTGCGTACCCCCTGAGCCACCTCGCCAGCCTCAGGGCTCCTCCCTACCCTTTGGGATAGGAGTGAGGGGCTAGGAAACTCTGGAGAAACACACATCCAGACTGTCTGGCACAGGCTTTCAGAGTCTGCCCCCGGAGCCATAGACCAGTACCTTCTCATCCCTTCTCTGGAAGTTGCCTCACCGCCTGCAGCCAGTTCTACCCACTGGCCTCCCTGCTGGAGAAAAGTTTTCTTTGCAAAGTGTAAGATTCTCCAGTTTGATGCCCAGCAGTGGCGCACGCCTTTAATCCCAGCACTGGGAGGCAGAGCCAGGTGGATCTCTGTGAGTTCGAGGCCAGCCTGGGCTACAGAGAGTTTCAGGACAACCAGGGCTACACAGAGAAATCGTGTGTCAGAAAAACAAACAAACAAACCTCAGGTTTGACCACTTGAGGCCCAGAAGACTGAGGAGGCTGTCCAGTCCCTCAGAGCCAGGAAATTGTAGGGCCAATGTCAGCCTGGTTTATTTATTTATTTAGTGGCTTGGTTGAGACCTACATGGGTCAGCACACACATCCTAATTGGGGAGACTGATCTGAAGTAAATTAACAAAATCATTTTGGGGTGATATTCTGAAGAGAATAAAACCAGCCAGTGTGATAATGGTGGGGTTGAGAAAGAAACTGAAGACGGGGAAGCTGAGAAGGATCCAAGCTGGAAAGGGTGAGAAGGAGGTTGACACTCGAGGGAGCTGGCTTTCTAGGCAGAAGGAACTGCAAGTGTAAAGCCTTGAGACTGGGACATAATGTCCAGACAGAGGAGTGAGGGAACTGCAGACACTGGAATAAAATCTGGACCTCTTTCATGATTTTAAGTTTGCAGAAGCTGCCAAGGACCTTGAAGGTCATTAGGAGGCTAGATTTCTTTGGCTTGCTGGGGCCCCTCCAATGATGGCCTCTGTCTTTTTAGGAGCTTCAGGGCCAGAGGCCAGACGTCTACAGCGACCTCAACACACAGAGGCAGTACTACAGATGAGCCCACACTATGCCGACCAGCAACCTGATGCCTGGATCCAGCCATTCCCAATGCTTATTCAACATGCCCTCCCTGGGATACAGATCCACAGAGTGCTCCCCCTGAGATGTCTGACCTCTCCCCACTTCTGTCCACAAATAAATGACGGAGCAAAAACCATGGCTGAATTATGCTATTTATGAGGGTAACCGTGGGGCCCCAAGAATGCTCTTAAATCGGGAAACAGCTACCTGGTTAGACGTCAGACTTTGGGAAGAACAAGACTAGAGGCATTTGAATTACTTTATTCCAGTCCAGAAGGAGTGTGTTCCCAGGCACCCCCACGTGATCCAGAACGTGAGAGTCAGAAGTTGCAGAGGTCAGCTTCGGCCAGGCATGTTGATGTAGACTCTACTGTCTTCTGGTGGGTGGGGTAGAGAGAGCATGAAGCATGACCACCCACATTACCTTCCTGGGAGACCCCCTGCCTCAGGGGCTTCCTCAGGGGTTCCCCAGATACCTCCCCCAGGGTTTCCCAAGCACCTCCTCCAGGGCTTCCCCGGGGACGGCCTTTGTGGGACCCCCTTCTTCCCTAGGGACTGCTACCCACTCTCCAGGCCCCGCCCCAGTGCTTGCTCACCTTGGGCAGGCCTGCTGTGTGGGCGCATGCATACAAACACCACCCCAACGATTATGAGTGACAAGACCGCATCTGCAGCCACCAGGCCTGCCAGGAGCGGCAGGGACAGAGGCCCACATCCTGAGCAGGAACCTGGGGGTTGGAGCCCAGACAAGCAGGCAGCTGAGATCGGTCTCTTTGTCCACAGGGAGCCCCTCTCCCCGCCCCCAGATGCCAGAGAGTGGGTAGATTTGGGGGGATTAGGGAGCAAAATGAGAGGGGGGAGCTAAGAGAGGCTGGGGAGTCACAGAACCCCAAGGGCTGTGCCCTGGGCACACCAGGAATCTGTTAAGGGGAGTCTCGGTTCCCATCACTCCAATTGGGTGGTGAAGAATCAAGATGGACCAGAAAGGGCTGAGATTAAGGAAATGTCAGGAGCCAGGGGAGTGCTGTGGGCCAGACTTCGGGATTGGAGGCAGCTGTTGAAGTTCATCCCTCACCTGCTGGCGTCTGACCTGCAGCCACTGTGGAAAGACAGAGAAAGTGGATAGGGGTCGGGGAGTAGTCCCCAACACGGGCTCAGGGCGGGTGGGATGCTTGAGACCTAAGCTCCACACTGGAGAGGTAAATGAGAAATGGAGCTTCCTGGAACACAGAAAATGACCAGAAAAGGGAAACAGAAGTGACCTAGCAGTGAGGAGAGCTCACAGCTCCACAATCCCACGCCCCGCCCCCAAGGACCCAGACCTTGAGCCGCAGCAGCTCTCAAGAAAGAAAAGGGCACAAGGAGAAGGGCTTGTCCTCCGCACCCCCGATCTCAGATGGCAGCCTTCCTGTCCCTCAAACCCGAAGTGCTAGCTTCACCTGGGAGCAGAAGCAGGAACAAGAGGCGGCCCGGAGGGGTCATGGTGGGCTGAGGCCTGAAGGGATCTGGACTGTGGTCCTGAGAGGTCCTGAGAACAGTAGAGAAGGGAGGAAGCCAGAACGGATGTCACTCTGCTGGTGACTATGCTACCTACTTCCTGTGTGTGGGTACATGTGTGTCCTTAAGACTTATTCTGGGGAACAAATTTGGGGGAGTCAGCGCCCAGAGAAGCTTCTGTCATAATCCGGGTGGGAGTGGCAGGTGGACCATGGTGTGGGTACCAGGGAGACTCTGGAAATATTTTGGAAGTAAAGCCAACAACATTTGGGGTTGGAGAGGGTGTGTGTTATAAAGGGGACCAGAGCCGGGCGGTGGTGGCGCACGCTTTTAATCCCAGCACTCGCGAGGCAGAGCCAGGCGGATCTCTGTGAGTTCGAGGCCAGCCTGGGCTACCAAGTGAGTTCCAGGAAAAGGCGCAAAGCTACACAGAGAAACCCTGTCTCGAAAAACCAAAAAATAAATAAATAAATAAATAAATAAATAAATAAATAAATAAATAAATAAATAAAAAATAAATTAAAAAAAAAATAAAGGGGACCAGGGGTAACTGTAGCTTCTGGCCTGAGGGAGATTAGAAAGATGGAGAATTGGGTTGACAAGAGTTTGTTTGGAAGAGCTGGCTAAGGAGGGAGAGAGGGCTGCCTACGTTTGGGCACACTGAGTTGGAGATCCTGACGGAGCTCTCTGGAGATGTGAATGTCCACAGTTGGGTTTCAGGTATGTCTGGTCCTGATATGTAAATTTGAGAGGGCTGTGGCTAAAAGATGGCATTTAAAACCAACCGTAAGACTGGATGAACTCACTAACGAAGTATACACACACACACACACACACACACACACACACACACACACACACACACTGGCTGCAGAGAAAGGGAACCTGTAACCAGCTAGGGAAGCTGAGGGCGGAAGCAGGGGAGGGAGAGACCCAACACCAGGCAGAGTATTGAAAGCAGGAGAGAAATTTGGTCACTGCAGATAAGTGCCAAGGAAGGTCACCAAGTGGGAACTGAGAGTGTCAGTCCCTCCTGAGGGCTGGGAAATCCTGTTTGGTTCACACCTCTCTATCCCAAGCGCCCAGCAAAGTGTCTCTCCTCTAGCTAACGGAGTTTTTAAAGTGATAGTAAGTGAGCTGGGCACGATAGCCCAAGCCTGTAATTCTAGCCTTAGGGAGTCCAAGGGAGGAAGGTGACTCTGAGTTCAGGGCCAGCCCTGCCATTGAGCATCCCAGGCTAGCCACGGCTATACAGGAAGACCTGACTGCCTCAAAACAAAGTGAGGGGTAGGGAGATGGCTCAGCAGATGAAGGCACTTGACCTGGCCTAGAGCCCCAGAATCCTTACGAAAAGCAGTGTTTCCGCAGCAGGCTGAAGAGCATGTGTTCTGTGACCTCCAGGGGAGCTCACACCCAGCATTTTTTAAAGCAAATATTAGAACCGAACATAGTGGCTCACACCTTTAAGTCTTAGCACTTGGGAGACAGAAGCAGGCAGATCTCTGTGAGTTCAAGGCTAGCCTGGTCTACGTAGTGAGTTCCATGACAGCTAGAGCTACGTAATGAGACCCTGTCTCAAAACAAAACAAAAAAGCAAATATTGGTAGTTGGATGTGGTAGCCCACACCTGTAATCTGACATTCGGGAGAGAGAGCAAGAGCAGCAGGCAGAGTTCAAGATTATCCTCAGTTACCGAGAGATCTAGGCCAGCCTGGGCTACAGGAACCCATGTCTGTCTGTTTCTCTGCCTCTCTGTCTCTGTCTCTCTCTCTCTCTGCCTCTCTCTGTCATACACACACACAGAAATCAAAACTGAAACCAAAGGGGGAGGGGGGGTTATAAATGAAAGTTGACTCTAAAGAAGGGAAAGGCCACGTGGAAAGAGGGAGAGATTTAAGTCACCCTTGCCTAAGGACTTCTCCAGGAGGCCATGGGGTCCAGACTCTCCCCCAGGACCCAACAGCACTGCTCTGCCTATGCACAGCCAAGTCAAGGCCTCCGGCATCCCCTTGGCCAGAGACTCAGAATTCCAGGACCCAGTGTCCCCTTCTTCCTGGAGGCAGGACCCCAGCACCCTCCTTCCATGGAGACGAGGTGATCAGACCCTTCAAGGTCAGCCCCTCCCATTCAGAGACAAAGTTTGCTCTAGCGCTAAACCGGGGACTCCCAGGACTGTGGGCGGAGTCCTCTTTGAATGGGCGTGGTCAAAACCCCAATTTAAAAACTCGCGGGGATCCTGGCTTTAGATCGGGGACCCGGCGGCGGCTCCGCGGGGGAAGCAGCGAGGCTGGCGCAGCGCCGAGGTCGCGGCCCTGGGGGCCCGCAATCTGCACCTAAGAATCCGAGAGGTAAGGATGGGGTAAAGCGAGGCACGCGACTTTCTGAGCGCTTGAGGGTTGGCTGGAGCATTAAGCTGGGCCCGGAGAGTAGGGGTGTCCTCAACGTTTAAGGGAGCTGGCTGAAGAGAAGCGGATGGGATTCTGGACTCCTGAGTCTTCAGAGTGTTGGAGATTAAGAGGGAGGTCTGGAATCTTGGGGTAGGGGGGTAGGGTGCAAGGCTTGGGAGGCCTGATCCTGGGATCCTGTAAGAGGACGAAGGGACCCCGACTCTTTCCCCCAAGGAGGGGGTTGCACTGTGGTTATGGTTGCAGATTTGGGTCCCAAAGGTCCGGCGTTAGACCTCTCCGGCCGGGACCTGCCCCGCCCTGGGATTTCCCAGAGCACCACCGGTGCAGGGACCCCGGGCCGGACAGGAATTCCCCGTGCGCGGGGATTCCACGGGCGCAGCGCTTCGCTGCGCGCCCCGCCTCCGAGCGGGACACCTGCAGCGCCAGTCCGGAGCGGAACTGGGAGATGGAAGATTCCCTTGCGTGAGCGCGGTGACGTCAGCGCGTGGCGTCCCGCCTCAGAGGTTTCCGAGTCAATCCCCGGCTTGCTTAACCCTTTTTGCCCGGAGTCGAAGCCCAGAAACCTGAGCTGGGGGATTTTTCTCTTCTTGGGAACCGGACTTCCAGGTCCGGGAGAAGGAAACTGAGGATCCGGACTCTTGGGTTCTGGATGAGAGGGTGCCGCATCTATGGGATGCATGGGCGGGATGGTGGGCCCCTCCCAAGTCTGCAGAGGTGGGGGCAGGAGCTTTGCGACTCCAGATCTCTGGATTCCGGAGGAGCTAGTGGCTACTGATTTTGTAGACCCTGGCAGAGAGGGTGGGACGGGAGTGGTGGTCCCCAGAGTAGCAGCTCACCTTTTATCAGTGCTAGGCCCCCTCTACCATCCACTGAGCCACGCCCCGAGCCCCACATGTCAGATTCTAGAATAGAGAAATAATCTGTTGTTTTGAGGCAGGGTCCGGGGTAGTCCAGGCTGTCCTCCAACTTAGTATGTAGATGAGACTGGACTTGCGCACGTGATCCTCCTGTCCCCACCTCGCGAGTGCTGAGATTGCGCGAGTGTGCCTTCACTCCTAGTTTAAACAGACATTAGGAACCTGTATATGCCTTTTCAGGAAGTAGAGATTAGCAGACCCCCAACCCTCCCCTCCAAGCGTCAGGAGCCTAGGTTGGGATTTTTTACGGATGTGGCGATGCTTCAGAGGAGTGGGGTGTGGAGGAAACAGATGCTTCAGAGGAGTGCTAGCCTCCCCACTTCCTCAGTTTCCACTACGCTGGTGGAAAGTTGGGGCAGAGGAAAAGCGTGGAGTAAAAGGAAGGAAATGGCGGAGGCGGGCCCTGCACTCAGCATCTTCTATTGGCTTTGTAGTTCTCTGGCGGCATCAATGTGCCAGATTTTCCGCGCGGGAGAGAAAGGAGGGCGCCCACGTCCACTCCTCGCTGCCCACTGCTGCCGCCGAGGGTACATTTGGGTGACTTAAACATTCCTGATGACTTCCTTCTGCCTTCCCCCACACAGTGAGTCGGACTGAGCGCAGCCACTGCCCAACCCAGACCGTGAAGAAGCTCCTGGAAGAACAGAGACGCCGTCAGCAGCAGCCTGAGGCTGGTGGGGTTCCGGTGAGTCTCGGGAAGTCCGGTTTAGGACCACACACGCAGCCATGTGCGCTCCGGGACATGGGAGTTGTAGTCCTAACTCTGGTGGTCTGCAGGTGGGGAACAGACCCGAATCTTCCAGACACATAAATTCACTCATGTTTTCATTTTCTTTACACTGCAGGGCCACTTCTCCCCTCCCCTGACTCAGCCGCTGACCCCATCTGTGAACGAGGCAGAAGCAGGTAAGAATAGAAAGTTGGTTCCCAGCCCCAACTTCTCTTAGACACTTAGATATTCCAGCTCTTAGAACCTTGGAGACCAGGAGTTCAGCCTTCATTATTGTTGAGACACAGGAGAAAATTTGATGGACAGCCTTCCATAGTTGCACATGCCTGTTCCCAGCACTCCAGAAATTGAACGGGGAGGAGTGCCATTGGGTGTGAGTTCTAGGCCAGCTAGAGCTATCTAAGACACTTTGTCCCCCAAAAGAAAACAGAACAGAAACCCCTGGGATTTCACATTGGTTCTCTGTAGCCCAGTAGTTTGCATATAGTCCTAAAAGGACCCAGAGTTCTGTGATTCCAGCAGTCCAGGTCCCAGCTGCTTCAGACCAACCTGTTGATTTCCAGGATTGGAGGACCCAGCAGCTCCTTCCTCAGTCCCAGCCCTCCAGGTACACTATCCCTGGCTGTGTCTCCCAGTCTCTAATAACAGGCTGGTCCCTGCCCATCCTCTTCCTTTCAGGCCACACTCACTTCCCCACCTTCCAAGAGACCGTGGATTCAGGACCTGGCACCCTGGCTCCCCCTTCAGGCTTTGCAGACTGGGACCCCAGCACCCATGCTTCTTATACAGATAGCTCTTGCCCGTACTCTGCTGCTGAAGGCTTCCTGACTCCTGATTTCTACCCACCGTCAGACCCAGGGCGCTCAGGCCCATTTCCCCTGGGGATGGAGGTAAATTATACACAGGGACATATGCTTAAGGGCCCCTAAAAAATTCCCAGTTGTGCTGAGCCTAGTGATGTAAGCCTGCCATTCCAACTGCTCGGGAGGGAGGCAGAAGCAGGACTGTGAGACCTGCCTGGGCTATAGAATGAGTTCAAGGTTGCCCTGAGCATGTAAGACCTCATCTTTAAATAAAAAGTGAAAAACAGAGAGTGTTGGGAGTGTTGCTCCGTGGTCAAGCTCTTCCCTAGCATGCAAGAGGCCATGGGATCTCCATGAGAATCTCAGTTACATCCATGCAATATTCTACAATGTCAGGGACAGGTGTACTGGTTTATGCCTGTGGCCTCAGCACCTGGGAGGCAGAGGCAAGAGGACTGCCATTTTGAGCCAGCTAGTTGTGAGTTAGAAGCCAGTAGATGGCCAACACCAAACAAACTCTGGTATTTTTGGAGGGGTTTTGTTTCATAATGTTTTGTCTGTTTTTTCTTTTTTTTCCTTACAGATCTTTTCCTTAAATATTACGGTTTCTGATTTTGTTTGTATGGATTTTCTGTGTGTGCAAATCTATGTGTCTGTCTGTATTTCTTGTACTTCTTTATTCCTGTTTGTTTTTTGTCATATTCTAGTTTGTTTTTATTTTATCTTATTAGTATTACTATTTTTTAGATGCCTGTTTGTATTCTAATGAGAGAGAGAGAGAAAGTGTGTGGATTTGGGGGAGTGGGAAGGTAGGGAGGCTCTGGGGGGAATTTGGGGAAGGGAAACTGTAATCAGAATCTATTGTATGAAAAAATTCTATTTTCAATTAAAAAAAAACCCCAACACTGCCTGAAGCATGGCTCTGGTAGCTTCTGATGTATCAGATTAAATGGGACTGAAGAAGAGGGAAACAGGATTCAAGTGTACTAACTGATTTCTTGAATGAAAATAATACTTAGGCTGGAGAGATGGCTCAGTGGTTAAGAGCACTGCCTGCTCTTCCAGAGGTCCTAAGTTCAGTTACAGCAACCACATGGTGACTCACAACCATCTGTAATGAGATCTGGTGCCCTCTTCTGGCCTGCAAGTATACTTACAGGCAGAGGACTGTATACATAATAAATAAATAAATCTTTTTTAAAAAAAAAAGAAGAAGAAGAAGCCAGTCAGGGTGTATAACAGAGCAGAAACAAAAACAAGCTAGGTATAATAATAGTACATGCTCATAATCCCAGCACTCAGACTGCTGGGACAGAATTGCTTCAAGTTCAAGGCTAGCCCGGGCTTCACAGTGATATCCTCTCTCAAAAGACAAAAGCAAGCAGAAAACAAAAAACTCTTCTTCCTTGTGGCAAAACTGAAGTCCCAGGGTTCAAAGTCAGCTCCTGGTCTCACCCATTTGACCAGGGGCTGTGTGCTGTGTATGATGGGAATTCTCAGCTGACTGACTCTTCCACCCCCTCCCCGTACCCCTCAGGACTCTCTGGATACCCGGCTGTATACAGAACCTTCCCTGTCACAGGTAGGATCCTGGAGAGTCTCTAGCCTCCCCTCAGGATCTCCACAGTTGCCTCCATCCCCTGGACCCTCCCTGGAGACAGCCCGAGCTCACATATTGGCTTTGGGGCCGCAACAGCTACTGGCCCAGGATGAGGAAGGAGACACGTAAGTACAGAGGGACAGGATGATCTACAGACTCCTGGCTTCTCTGGGGTGGGGGCTCCTCTCATTGCTGCCCCCACCCCCACCCATCCTCAGGTTCTTGCACCTGTTTGCGGCTCGGGGACTGCGCTGGGCAGCGTATGCTGCAGCAGAGGTATTACAGATGTACCGACAGCTGGATATTCGTGAGCATAAAGGCAAGGTGAGGGCCAGGAGTCCAGACTTCTGCACCTGGGGAAGAGGGCACCTGACTTTCAGAAGGGAGGACTCTGGGAGCCCAGGCTGATTCTGTTGTGACTTGCAGACTCCTCTCCTGGTGGCAGCAGCTGCCAACCAGCCACAGATTGTGGAAGACCTCCTGAGCCTGGGAGCAGAGGCTAATGCTACTGACCATCAAGGCCGTTCTGTCTTGCATGTGGCTGCCACATACGGGCTCCCAGGAGTTCTTTCGGTATGGCCGGCAGGCAGACCCAGGGTGTCTGGGGTGGGCTAGTTATCCAGAGCCTGGTTTCCAGGACCAGGTTTAGGGAGACCCTTCCACAGCTCTCTTCCTCTTCTCCTTCTAGGCTGTGTTTAAATCAGGCATTCACGTGGACCTGGAAGCCAGAGACTTCGAAGGTGAGCTGGTCATGGCCGGGGCTGGTGTGGCAGGCAGGCAGGCTGGCTGGTCAGGGTGGATGTCCAGGTGCAGGTTCCTTACTGTTCCGTTCCACAGGCCTTACCCCCCTCCACACAGCCATCCTGGCTCTCAATGCTGCTACGCCCCCACCTAGCGTCTGTCCAAGGATGCTGAGTTCCCAAGCCCGAGACAGACTGACTTGTGTGCAGATGTTGCTGCAAATGGGTGCCAGTCATACCAGCCAGGTGAGCTTGGGTGGCAGGGGACGGGCAGACCCATAGGAAAGTGTGTGCAAAGGGCCACCTGGATGCCCAGGGGCCTAAAAAATGCTGGCACTGCCTCATCTACCTGTGTAACCTGAGTATGTTCCTCCACTTCTCTGAAGCCTGGTCATCCATGTGGATATTATTATTATTATTATTTTTTTTTTTTTTTTTTTGGTTTTTCGAGACAGGGTTTCTCTGTAGTTTTACGCCTTTCCTGGAACTCACTTTGTAGACCAGGCTGCCCTCAAACTCACAGAGATCCGCCTGCCTCTGCCTCCCGAGTGCTGGGATTAAAGGCGTGCGCCGCCGCCACCACCCGGCCCCATGTGGATATTATTGATCTTAGATTTATCAAGCATGGAGTGACTTTGATCAGCCTTTGCCAGCCACCATCCCCACCCCTCTAGGCATGTACTCTTATTTTCTACATTTTACTGATGAGAAATCTGAGTCCCAAGGGTTCAAAAGTCCCATAGCTTTTGTGTTGGAAAGAGAATTAGATCCAAGGGGTCAGGGATCTAACCCTAGAACTTGGCTCCTAATTACATTTTTTTTTGGTTATTGTTGTTGTCTTTTAAGACAGGGTTTCTCTGTGTAGCTTTGCGCCTTTCCTGGAACTCGCTCTGTAGCCCAGACTATCCTTGAACTCACAGAGATCCGCCTGGCTCTGCCTCCCAAGTGCTGGGATTAAAGGTGTATGCCACCACCGCCTGGCTCCTAATTACATATTTAACCCTTTTGTCCTGTGATAGTGATACCTTCATAGGCAGGCTGAGAGAATTCCATATCATTTCATTTTAAACATTAGTTTTTTTGTTTTTTTTTTAAAGATTTATTTATTTATTATGTATGCAGTGAGTGTTCAGCCTGCAGGCCAGAAGAGGGCACCAGATCTCATTATAGATGGTTGTGAGCCACCATGTGGTTGCTGGGAATTGAACTCAGGACCTCTGGAAGTACAGCCAGTGCTCTTAACCTCTGAGCCATCTCTCCAGCCCCTAAACATTAGTTTTTTTAGTTCAAGAGTTTTGAGCATAGGATGGAAGATGTACTATAGCTACTACCTAGCCTTTTACCCCTTTGGCCCGTATTTAATAAACTGTTCTTCCAAAAACAAATTTGAACATAGATTAATTGCAAAGACTGTCATAATGTGCCCTATGTGCCAGTATTACGTCGGTGATCAGCAACCACAGCGACTCCCATCATCCCATCCTCTCGCCCACTTTCCTTTCAGTTTTCAGTTTTTGTTGGTGCTGAGGATTTAACCCAAGTTCTAGTGCAGGCTAGGCAAGCTCTTCACAAACCTATATTATTATTTATTTTATTGTCATTACTTAAGGCACAGTCTCTTTATATAGCCCAGACTGACCTCAAACTCAGCATCTCCTGCCTCAACCTCCCAAGTGCAGAGCTGATAAACTGCATCACCAGGGCCAGTCCTGTGCTGTCTTTGAGCAAATACAAGCCTGTAATTCTTTCCATAACTATTTGTCCTTTCTTCCTTTCTTCCCTCCTTTCTTTTTTTTTCTTTTGGTTGCTGAGAGTGGAACCCAGAGCTTCCTCATGCTTATTACAGTGGTAGAGCCCCTGCCTAGAATCCCCCAGTGAGGGCCTGGGGTGTGTCTCAGTGGTAGAGCCCCTGCCTAGAATCCCCCAGTGAGGGGCTGGGGTGTGGTTCAGTGGTGGAGCCCCTGCCTAGAATCCCCCAGTGAGGGGCTGGGGATGTGGTTCAGTGGTAGAGCCTCTGCCTAGAATCCCCCAGTGAGGGGCTGGGGTGTGGTTCAGTGGTAGAGCTCCTGCCTAGAATGCTCCAGTAGAGGGCATAAAAGCTGGCGAACCTAAGGCTCCTTGAAAGCATGTAGTAAAGTTTCATTTTAGAAAACGGTTTTCCCCTCTAAAACAGCAGTTCTCAACCTATGGGTCATGACCCCTTTGCAGATCATATATCAGATATTCTGCATGTCAGATATTTATGTTACAATTCATAACAGTAACAAAATTACAGTTATGAAGTAGCAATGAAATAATTGTATGGTTGGGGGTCACCACAACCTGAGGAACCATATTAAAGGGTCGCAGCATTAGGAAGGTTGTAGATGAATTGCTAAACGGTCTTATTAATAAAAAAAACCTGGAGCCAGATATTGGGGTGAATGCTGAAAGATCAGAGGAATAGAACAAGCCACAGCCAGCTTCACCTCGACAACTTCTCAGTTGATCCTGTTTCCACGAATCCTCAGACTGAAAGCTTCTGAGTCCTCACCTGGAAGGGTCTTAGCTCAACGGCTTAAAAGCCTCTAGTTCCTGGTCCTCTGATCTCTGCCTCCGGAATGCTAGGATTAAGGGTGTGTGCCACCACTGTCTGGCCTCTATGTCTAACCTAGTGGCTGTTCTGTTCTCTGGCCCCCGGAGAAGTTTATTAGGGTGTACAATGTATCACCCACAGAAGGTTGAGAACCGCTGCTCCAAACTATGAAGCCCAGTGTCCTACATAGACATGTCTGCTGATTAATGCCTCCCAGCTCCAGTACTTACGTTACAGTACAGTCCGTATGAGACAGGGTGCATTTAGTGCGTCCAGTAGGAGGACCCCAGGTGACCAGGACAACTCCTAGCCCAGAAAGCTCCTTTGAGGGACTGGGAAAAGCATCTTTTTTCGGAGACACTTGAACTGGGAAATTGTCATATTGAATGTGTAGTCCTATGACACATATGTTACAAATGGCCTCCCTTAGCCATGTCTTCTTACATAGTACACAACACATACATCTGTGCAAGGCACTCCTGGTGGCTGCCAGGTGTCTTGGGGGGGGGAGGCTGTGGATGGAAGGCTGGCCTGACCTCTACTGTTCTCCTCCTAGGAGATCAAGAGCAACAAGACCATTCTGCACTTGGCTGTCCAGGCTGCCAACCCTACCCTGGTTCAGCTGCTACTGGGGCTGCCGAGGGGGGACCTGCGGGCCTTTGTCAATATGAAGGTAGGACACAGGCAGAGATTTGCGGGTGGTTTGAGATACAGTTGCAAGGGGCAGGTGAGCACTGGGGTCCTGTGAACTGTGGATGTAAAGGGGACAATATGCGGGGTGTGAAAGGAATGTGTATTCTGTAGTCGGGTGGGTGGAATGTGGCTATGAAGGGTGACATGTGAGCTGTGGATGTGGCAGGATGCAGAAGTGCAGTTTAGAAGACCCAGGCACTTGGATCTTTGTGGTTACAGGCCCATGGGAACACGGCCCTCCACATGGCGGCTGCCCTGCCCCCTGGGCCGCCCCAGGAGGCCATTGTGAGGCATCTGCTGGCAGCTGGAGCAGACCCAACGCTGCGCAACCTGGAGAATGAGCAGCCTGTTCATTTGCTGCGACCTGGGCCGGGCCCTGAGGGGGTAAGCACTGGCCTGACTTGAGCTAATCGAGGGGTTCCCCAACTGCACCAACACTGATTTAGAGGATGACATCTAGTCTCAGAAGGTGTCCTCAGTCCCTGTCCACTCTTCGCTTCAAAGAGTGACCTATGCTGAGTACTACCCTCTGTTAATCCCAACTCTTGAAAGACTAAGGCAGGAAGAGTGAGAATTTGAGCTAGCTGGGCCTACATAGTTAGACCCTGTCTCAAAAAGGAAACAAACAAACAACCCCAAGCGGTGACCTTTGACTTTAATGTCTGACCCTTTCTTCAATATGACAACTCCTACTGTGGCCTTCAGTCCCCAGGGAGACCTCTGGATTACTGTTCCCAACCCTGGATCCTAGCCTTAGATGTAATTTCTGACCCTGACCCCAAGATGGGAACCCTGCCTAGCAAAACCTTTCTGGTTTCTGGGTGTCTACCAGAGTCTGAACACAGGTTCACCCCAAACCTCACATGGGTTTCAGTATATAGCCCAGGATGACCCCTGACTCCCAGTTCTCCTGCCTCAGCCACCCAAAGTAGTGGGATGACAGGCATGGACCACCACACATGACCTCAACCCGTCTTGACTTTAGACCTGTGACCTTCCAACCCAAGTGACCCCACTCATTTTCTCCCTTGTCAGTAACGCCACCCAAGGTACCCCTCAGCCTCCCATGTGTAACCCCAGCCTTTGAAAGGCCTCCTCCACCCTCCCACACGCCTCATGCTGCCTTCTCTGTCCCTAGCTCCGGCAGCTGTTGAAGAGGAGCCGTGCGGCACCCCCAGGCTTGTCCTCTTAGGACTGAAACCAGAACCTGGACTGATTTTCCAGTCCCCACCGTCCCGTGGGACAGTCAGCGTATGCTCATGTCGCAGATTCGTGATAATATGTATGGAATATCCTGCCATTAGGGTCTTACATTAAAACCCCAAAGTGGCACTGGGGGAGGTGAGCAGTCCCCAATATTTGGGGTCATGTGATACCTCCTCCCTCTACAAGGGGCTATCTAGATGATTTCTGTGAAATCGAGCCCACTTGACTGTTTCTGTGAAACACCCCAGAAATCTTTAACTTTCTCCTACTTGGATCAGCGGTGATCACCTCCCTAGACTCAGTCTTACACCCCCAGAAACTCCAACGGAGCCTCCATGGGGTTTGAGGCATCCCAGTACCCTCGTATCAACGCTCCTCCCCAGGATGTCAGAAAGGCCCTCCGAGATTGTTGTGCCCTGAGTTCTGGCTGCACTGTCATTTAGAACTCAATGTCCCAGACCCCAGCATCCCCGCGGAATTGTTCCCCTTGGTCTGTGTGTTACTGGAGCTCCCAATTAAACTCCATTTGGCCTCAGGCTGTGTGATGTCATTCCAAGTGGAGGGCATTGGTGCAGGAAGGTGGTGGTGGTGACCCACTGAAAGGCCACGTTTGGGTGATAGAAAGACTGGGGAGTCAGGATCAAGACGCCATCGGACCTGATGCAGACATTCGGTTCTGGTTTTTAGATGACCTTCCCTTCCTGCTGCTGACATTTGTGGGCATCCGGTGCCCAATCTCCTGTGTAAAATATTCAGAAGACAAGCTGGGTATGGTGGTGCACACCTTTACCCAGCACACGGGAGTCAGAGGCAGGCAGGTCTCTGAGTTCAAGGCCACCCTGGTCTGCCTAGCAGGTTCTAGGACAGCCAAAAATACACAATGAGACTGTCCAAAAACACCATGTCCCATCTCTAGCCCTAGCCAAAAGCCAACCAAACAAAAATTTTGGGGTGATGTCACACTCATGTAATTTCATCATTCATGTTTGAGTCAAGTCTGGGATATAGAGGGAAAAAAAAACTTACCTCAATTTTTTTAATTTTAAAATTGAAGGGAGAGAAAGAGAGAGGAAAGGAAGAAAGGGAGGGAGGGAGGGAGGAAGAAGAATCTTTGATTGCCAAGTTGTAGGTTTCTCCACCGACACAATAAGCCAAATTAAAAGTAAAGGGCCAAGTTTAATCCGAGCTAATTACTAAGGAAGGAAATCAGTTCCGGGGTATCATGTCCACTTCCTGCTCTAACCTAAAATCCTAACCAATGACGACCAGGAGGTGATATGTACAATGACCCAGGTCCCACAGCTCCCTGTCACATTTAAACTCTGAAGTGCAGTTTGCTCAGGCTCCCTGAATCCCTCAACAGAATGATGCTCTGGCTCCTGTAGCACTTGGTAACACAGCCTCTCTTTCCTGGCCTCCCCTAGCTGAGGCTATTCCAGCCTCCTTACCGGTGTTCCCGCCCTGTTAAATGCCTTCAGGCATTCTCAGCATCTGCTTCCAGAGAAGGTACCTGTCAAACCAAGCTAGGACCTCCACCAAGCCTGCTTCTCAGATCTGCCCTGGAGTCGTTGGTCTGTCTATACCACTGAGTTACAGAGTCCCCACTCCAGAGAGCCCCTCGACCCACCAGAGGCCTCCTGCCTATGGACTCTCGTAGACCACAAACCAAGTCACACACAAGGGTCCCTTCTGTCACCTTGACTGGATTAGGAAAGGAAGGACAGCTCTGGGTGTGTCTGAGAGGGTGTTGCCAGAGATGAGGTGGTCAGAGCTCTGAGAGTGAATGGACACACCCCTTGATAGATTCCTAATACAATGGCATTACTGGGAAATGGCCAAAGGTCAGGTGGAATCTAGTTGGACAAATTATGTCATTGGAGACATGTTCCTGCCCTGGTCTCTTCCTATTACCTCTTTTCCAGCTCCCTGTTAGTCATGAAGAAGCTTTTCTGCCATACGTTCCTAGTGCCTTGACAACTCTGACTCACAGTGGATCTGTGGACCAAATTCTCTGAAACTGTGAGCCAAATACGTCCCTTAAGATGTTTCTCACAGGTCACAGAAGAAAAGTAACTACTACATTACATTAGTGCATTTTAAGGCCAGTGCAACCCAGCATGGGGCATCAAACATTTACCTCACAGTTGCCTGTGGCTTTGCAATCTGGACTGGGCTCAGCTGGAAGCATCTTGCTTTGGTCACTCAAATGGCCAAAGTAAGCTGGAAGCTTATGCTGGAACCCAATACTGCATCAGTCACAGATGTGATAACTCAGCTAAGTACTGGCAACTGTTGGATGAACCAATCTCTTCATGTGGTCCAGGAGAGCAGATGGGTCTCTACATGGTGAGTTCCTAGTTTGGGTCACTATTGCTGTGATGAAACACCATGCATGACCAAAAGCATCTTGGGGAGGAAAGGGTTTATTTGGCTTACACTTCCATGTCCCTGTTCATCACTGAAGGAAGTCAGGACAGGAACCGGAGGCAGGAGCTGATGCAGAGGCCCTGGAGAAGTGCTGCTTACTGGCTTGCTCTCATGGCTTGCTCAGCCTGTTTTCTTATAGAACCCAGGACCAGCAGCCCAGGGATGGTACCACCCACAATGAACTGGGCCCTCCCCCATAAGTCACTAACCAAGAAAATTCTCTACAGACTTGCTTACAGTCTGATCTTATGGAGGTGTTTTCTCAGTTGGGGTTCCCTCCTCTCAGATGACTCTAGCTTGTGTCAAGTTGACATAAAACTAGCCAGCACAGTGAGTCCTGACTCCAAGAGACAGCATCTTGAGAGGAAATATCCCTGCTTGCATCAGGCTTACTGATATCCCATTGACCAAAGTCACATGACTAAATCAGGCATGATGGTGCACTCCTATCATCCCAGCTCTTGGGAGGCTGAGGCAGGAGGATCAGGAGTTCAAGGGGATAGGGAAGAAAACTGGGGGGCAGAGTTAACCGGGGCCAAGTGCTGTCTCCAATGTCAGCGGCCTCATGCCAGTGTGTGTGTTCCTAGATGTGGTGGTGCTGTGGCTGGCCCATGAAGAATTCATATGAATGTGCTGTATTTTGTACAAGAACTTACCTACAATTAGGAGTTCCTTACACAGTCTATTGTGAGTTATATTTTAGGGACCCTGTTTCAAAAAATAATCCAGTTAAAGAAGGCTGTTTTAAGGGCACAAAGTATCAAAAGAACAATGGCAAATACTTTAATGATGGTATTTGTGCTAGTCTGAATGTAATTGGCCCCCATAATCCCTTAGGGAGTGGCTTTGTTAGGAGGTGTGGCTTTGTTAGGGGCGTGGCTTTGTTGGGGGCGTGGCTTTGTTAGGGGTGTGGCTTTGTTAGAGTGGGTGTGGCCGTGTTGCAGGAAGTGTGTCACTGTGGGCGCGGTCCTTGAGGTTTCCTATGCTCAGGATACTGCCCAGTGTCTCAGTTGACTTCCTGTTGCCAGCAAGATGTAGGACTCTCAGCTACCATCTACTTGAAGTCTGCCATGCTCCCGCTATGATGATAGTGGACAGAACTTCTGAAATTGTAAGTGAGCCACCACAATTAATGTTTTCCTTAGAAGAGTTGCTGTGGTCATGGTGTCTCTTCACAGCAATAGAAATCCTAACTAAGGTAGTATTGTTTTAGAATTTAAATTTTATTTATTATATGTTTTTTGGTTTTTTGAGACAGGGTTTCTCTGTGTAGCTTTGTTCCTTTCCTGGAACTCAATCTGTAGCCCAGGCTGGCCTCAAACTCACAGAGATCCACCTGGCTCTGCCTCCCGAGTGCTGGGATTAAAGCCGTACGCCACCACCGCCCGGCAGAATTTAAATTTTTACCTGTATGTGTGTGAAAAAGTGCGGGTGCCCATGGAGGCCAAAAGAAAGCATCAGGTTCCCTGGAGCTGGAGTTACACATGGCTGTGAATTAACACACATGGGTACTGAGAACCAAACTGAGTCTTCTAGAAGAATGATAAGCTCTTTTAACAGCCGAGCCAGCTCTCCAGCCCCTAACAACAGCATTCTAAAATTAATAAACAGAGGCCTGGTATAGCAGCACATTATTTTTATTCCAGCACTCAAGAGACAGGAGCAGGCAGATCTCTGTGAGTTTGAGGCCAGCCTGGTCCACAGAGCGAGATCCAGGACAGGCACCAAAGCTGCACAGAGAAACCTGTCTCGAAAAACCAAAAACAAAAACAAAAATTCGTAAGCAGGGCTGGTGAGATGGCTCAGCCAGTAAAGGGGCTTGCTGCCACCAAGCCTGATGACTTCAGTATCCACACCCAGGACCCAGGTCAGGGAAGGAGAAAACTGACTCCTCCAACTTCCCCATGTAACTGTGGTAAATGCTGCCACGCACATTCAAGTGTGCCTGTGTGTGCGCACATACACACACACACACACACACACACACACACACACACACACTAACCAGACATTGTCATTAGAATGTAAAATTGACTAATTAGATACAGGGTCTCATTATGTAGCCTGGGCTGGCCTGGAACTTGCTGACTTTGAGCTCACAGAGATCCACCGGCCTCTGCCTCCTGAGTGCTGGGATCAAAGGCGTGCACCCCAACACCTGGCTTAGAATGTAAACTCTATTAAATCATGTGTGGTCATGAGTCTTTTCCCTCCCAGCACTAGTGGGGAATGTGGGCCTGCCTCCTCTGGGTTTAATAAAGATGTGATTACTATAGGGCAACGATGCTAACCAAGTTCTCTGATGCACCACGGTGTGGTGTGCAGCACACATTATCACAGGGATTCCCTTTTTACACTTACTTGTGTCTATTTAATATACAAGACCTGTATTGACATGGATATTTTATGAAGAGCCTCTGCTAACTCATAAGGCCTTTGGGAGAGTTAGAAATAGATACTCCCTCCCCAAGCCATCTGTCAGAAGAGCAGGCCTCACTACGTCAGCGGTTGGTGTATGACTGCCACCTGCTGGGCAGTTGGGTTAGAAAGGGAAATTTATCCAGTCCAGGGAGAGAAAAGCCTGGAATTCGGCCATGCACTTTTTAAAGTAAATTTATTTACTTGCTAACTTACTTACTTACTTTTTAAATTGGGGCGTAGCACAGGGTGGGCACCATGACAACATGGTTTGGGTTTTTGGGTGTTTTGAGATAGGGTCTCAAGTGCAGGCTATTGTTAAACTCACTATGTAGTAGAGAATGAGGTTGAATTTAAAGAAAAATTGTATTGGGATTAAAGAGCTGTCTCGGTGATTAAGAGCACAAACTGCTCTTGCCAAGGACCTGGGTTCAGTTCCCAGCACCCACACAGCTCCTAACCATCTGTAAGTCCAGTTCCAGGTGACCCGTGCCCTTTTCTGGGCTCTGCTGGCATCACCACAAATGTGGTTTCCACACAAACATGCAGACGAAAAATTCACACAAATACATAGAAATAAACATCTTAAAAATATTTCCTTATTTACTCACCCGGGGTTTCATGCACTCTCAATTGGTCTAGAAGCTGCTACATAGCTGAAGATGGAAGCTGTCTTCTGTGTGTGTGTGT